CTCACCACTGGACAAATCTTCTAAACAAAAGTTGAATAAAGGAACTATAGAGCTCAATAACACAATTAATAACTTAGACTTAACTGACATATATAGAATACATCAACTGGCATCAAGCAGACACATTTTCTTCTCAGCAGCACATGGATCCTTCTCAAAAATAGACAATAAACTATGTCACAGGGCAACTCTTAGCAAATATAAAGGAGTAGGGATACTACTGTGCATTTTATCAAATCATAATGGGATGAAATTGGAAATCAACGACAAAATAAAGAATAAAATATCTGCATTACATGGAGACTGAACAATATGCTACTGAATGAACAATGGGTTACAGAAGACATCAAGGAGGAGATTAAAAAATTATTAGAGGTAAATGAGAACACAGATACAACATAACAAAATCTCCGGGACACTATGAAATCAGTACTAAAGAAAATTCATTGCATGGAGTTCATTCCTTAAAAGAAGAAAAAGTCAACAAATTAAAAGAACAGAAGAAAAAGAAGAACAAATCAGCAGCAAAAGCAAAAGAAGGGAAAAAAAGCAATAGAAGGAAAAAAAAGCAATAGAAGGCAAGAAATAATTAAAATCAGAGCTGAAATCAATGAAATCAAAACAATTGAAAAAATTGACCAAACTAAAAGTTTGTTCTTTGAAAAAGTAAATAAAATTGACAGACCCTTAGCCATGCTAATGAAGAGAAGGAGAGAGAGAGAATTCAAATCACCAAGCATAGGTAATGAAAAAGGCAATATCACAACAGACACTACAGAAATACAGAAGATAATTAGAAATTATTTTGAAATCTTATACTTTAATAAAATAGAAGACAGTGAAGGCATCGATAAATTCCTTAAGTCATTTGATCTGCCCAGATTGAGTCAGGAAGATATACACAACTTAAACAGACCAATATCAATTTAGGAAATAGAAGAAGCCATCAAAAGATACCAACCAAGAAAAGCCCAGGTCTGGATGGATACACAGCTGAGTTCTACAGAACTAAAACTAAAAGCATAACTAATACTAATACTCCTCAAATTATTTCATTAAATAGAAAAAGAGGGAAGGAACACTTCCAAACTCATTCTATGAGGTTAATATCACCCTGATTCTAAAACCAGACAGACACTTCAAAGAAATAAAACTATAGACCAATATCTCTAATGAACATACATGCAAAAATTCTCAATAAAATTCTGGCAAATCGAATACAAAAACATATCAAAAAGATTGTGCACCATGATCAAGTATGATTCATCCCAGTGATGCAAGGTTGGTTCAGCATACGGAAATCAATAAATGTAATTCATCACATCAGTAGACTTAAAGATAAGAATCATATGATCATCTCAATAGACACAAAAAAGCATTCGACAAAGTACAGCATCCCTTTATGTTCAAAACACTAGAAAAACTAGGAATAACAGGAACATATCTCAACATTGTAAAAGGGTATCTACACAAAGCCTCAGGCCAACATCATTCTAAATGGAGAAAAATTGAAGGCATTCCCTCTAAAATCTGGAATAAGACAGGGATGCCCCCTTTCACCACTTCTACTCAACATAGTTCTTGAAACACTGGCCAGAGCAATTAGACTGATGAAAGAAATTAAAGGGATAAGTATAGGAAAAGAAGAATTAAAACTAGCACTATTTGCTGACAATATGATTCTATACCTAGAAGACCCAAAAAACTCCACCAGAAAACTTCTAGAACTAGTAAATGAATTCAGCAAAGTAGCAGGATATAAAATGAACACCCATAAGTCAAAGTCAATTCTATATGTCAGTGACAGATCCTCTGAGAAGGAAATGAGGAAAACTACCCCATTCACAATATCCTCAAAAAAAAAAGATACTTGGGAATCAACAAAAGAGGTAAAAGATCTATACAATGAAAACTACAGAACCCTAAAGAGAGAAATCAAAGAAGACCTTAGAAGATGGAAAGATCTACCTTGCTCATGGATAGGCAGAATTAATATTGTCAAAATGGCCATACTACCAAAAGCACTATACAGGTTTAATGCAATTCTGGTCAAAATCCCAATGGCATTCCTCATAGAAATAGAAAAAGCAATCATGGAATTCATCTGGAAAAATCAGAAACCCAGAATAGCTAAAGCAATTCTAAGCAGGAAGAGTGAAATAGGTGATATCTCTATACCAGACTTTAAACTATACTACAGAGCAGTAGTAACAAAAACAGCATGGTATTGGCACCAAAACAGGCCAGTAGACCAATGCTAACTGAAGTTAGGCAATCCCAAAAAAACAAATGCCAAATGTTTTCTCTGATGTAAGGAAGGTGACTCATAGGTACAGAATAGAGGACACAGAGACTAACTGACAAAATTACAATTATCTTATATTAGACAAAGGTGCCAAAAACATTCACCTGAGAAAAGATAGCATATTCAACAAATGGTGCTGGGAAAACTGGAAATCTATATGCAACAAAATGAAATTAAACTCCTATCTCTCACCATGCACAAAACTTAACTCAAAATGGATCAAGGACCTAGGAATTAAGCCAGACTCTGCATCTAATAGAAGAAAATATAGGCCCTACTTTTCATCATGTGGGATGAGGCCCCAACTTCCATAATAAGACTCCTATAGCGCAAGAATTAAAATCAAGAATCAATAAATGCAATGGATTCAAACTAAAAAGTTTTTTTCTCAGCAAAAGAAACAATCTGTGAGGTGAACAAAGAGCTTTACATCCTGGGAGCGAATTTTTACCACTCACACATCACATAGAGCACTAATCTTTAGGGTATATAAAGAACTCAAAAAGCTAAACACCGAAAAAACAAATAACCCAGTCAACAAATGGGCCAAGGATCTGAACAGACACTTCTCAAAAGAGGATATACAATCAATCAACAAATATATGAAAAAATGCTCATCATCTCTAGCAATCAGAGACATGCAAATCAAAATTACTCTAAGATATCATCTCACTCCAGTCAGAATGGCAGCTATTATGAAGACAAACAACAATGTTGGCAAGGATGTGGGGAAAAAGGTACAGTCATACATTGCTGGTGGGACTGCAAATTGGAGCAGGCAATTTGGAAAGCAGTATGGAGATTCCTTGGAAATCTGGGAATGGAACCACCATTTGACCCAGCTATTCCTCTCCCTGGTCTATACCCAAAGGACTTAAAAACAGCATATTACAGGGACATAGCCACATCAGTGTTTATTGCAGCAGCACAATTCACAATAGCTAAACTGTGGAGCCAATCTAGATGTCCTTTAGTGGATGAATGGATTAAAAAATGTGGCATATATACACAATGGAATTTTACTCAGCACTAAGAACAAAATGCCATTTGCAGGTAAATGGATGGCGTTGGATAAAATAATGCTAACTGAAGTTAGGCAATCCCCCAAAAACAAATGCCAAATGTTTTATCTGATGTAAGGAAGGTGACTCATAGGTGGGGTAGGGAGGGAGAACATGGGAGGATTAGATTAATTCTAGATAGGGAAGAGGGGTGGGAGTGAAAGAGAGGCACCAGGGGATTAGCAAGGATGGTGGAATATGATGGACATCATTATACAAAGTACATGTATGAAGACTTGAATTGGGTGTCAACATACTTTATATACAAACAGAGATACGAAAAATCGTGGTATATATGTGTATTAAGAATTGTAATTCAAAAAGAAAGTACATGTATAAAAGCATAAATTGGCGTGAACATACTTTATGTACAGAGATACGAAAAACTGTACTCTATACGTGTAATAAGAATTGTAATTCATTCCACTGTTGTCGTGTATTAAAAAAAAATAATAAAATCAATTTTAAAAAGGAATGAGAACTTTGACCTCTAAAAGAAAATAAATAAAATAATTCATGAAATTAAATATATAAATAAAGATGTTGTGTTCAATATAACTAAATAATTTTTAAAAATTTAAATGCTATTCACAATAAGAAAAAAATACCTATAACCAAATACCTAAGAATAAATATAATGAAAGATGGATGTATCCAACTTATGTATTTAAAAAATACAGATATTGCTTAGAAAAATTAATGAATGCTTAAAGGAGAAGACTATACCATGTTCATGATTTTATCTATATATTGTATCTATAAATTAAACGAATCCTCGCCAAAATCCCAGCAAGTCTCTGTAGAAATTAGGAAGTAGATTCTAAAGTTTACATTAGAATATGAAGGAGAATAACCAAGGTAATCTTAAAGGACAATAAGTCTAGAGGACTTGCTTTCAGTACTTTAATCAAGTATTAATTAACACCTACTAACTGCAGCAATTCAGACAATGTGGTATTGGCATAAGTGTAGATAAGTAGACAAATGGAACAGAATAGATTCTAGAAATAGACAAGTGAATGGACATGATGTACTATCATTATATATTGAAATTTTACAATGTTTGCTTTTAGAAATTTCACTTTGTATATTGTAAAGTTAATTTTTTCTTTTAAATAATTATTTGGAATGGCAGACTTTTAAACTGAGATGGCATTCATATTCTATCTTGGCTTTTTCTAATCCTTTAATTTTGGTAGTAATTTATCAGTTACAAACATGCTTTTAATTTTCAGTTTTGTTTTGGTTCTTTTAAACAAGTCTTCTGGGACAATAAAGAGCAATGAACATTCTTTAGCAGAAGATGGGCAGCCTCACTAGAAAAATTTGACTCCTTTTTCTCCTTAGATTTTTTATTTGCAGCAATTGAGTTATTGATACCAATTTTCTGATTTGGTATTCATAATAATTCTATAAATTGTCACTTTGAGGATATGCAGTAGCATTGTGGTTTATTATCTTTGCAATTTTCAGTAAGAGCTATATGTACTAATTTTTGTTCCTAGTGTTCACTAAAACATTCATCTCTAAATTTAAAAGAAAAAAATTGGTATGTAAAATATTCACTATGTAATTTTCTTCAAATAGTAAATTATGTAATAACATACTTATTAATCTGTTTTCCTCTTTTCTAGAGAAAATCTCTTCATGAAAACAAATTGAGGAGATTGCAAGAGAAAGTAGAAGTCTTGGAGGCAAAGAAAGAAGAATTAGAAACAGAAAATCAGGTGTTAAATAGGTAATGTGTGTGTGTATATATATACACACCATGTAGTTATTTTGATGTCATAGAACTTTGTTTCTGAGAGCATACTGTGTTTTCTTTTAAAATATATATATTTAAAAAGATATGTAGAACTATTTGATATCCATGAATGCATTACCTTTTATTTTTCTTTCTGACTGACTTTTCCTTTAAACCAGAAAGTTTCAGTGCCAGGTGTTTGAATTATGGTTAAGATTGACATAAAAGGTTAGTCACTGGCTTTGGTATAGTAACTGGCTTTGATATCTAGAAGTGGTGTGAATTCTCAGGAATTCTAGGAGTATATGAATATCTAGGAGTGTGTGAATTCTGCTAAGCTAACAAAACAATTGTGGCTATAGGTCTAAAAATCATGGCCATGGCTTTGAATCAAAGGTCAGTTTTTGGTTTCCTAGAGTGGAGAAATATTACTGGGCTATTGCTTCTGATTTTGTAGACACATCCAAGCATAGCTAATAATCAGCATCCTTAGCATTTTTTTTGAACAGATAAGGTTTACTTTACTGGATTGGCATTAGTGGTATTATATTGATTTGGTATTGTATTTAATTCAAGATAATAAAAAAATATTCTGAATTCAGCTAAGTAGTGGTAGCTTTCAGTACTTTAATCAAGTATTAGATTTTTTGTAATGGAAATTGCCTGTAATATCATGCAGTGATGTTTTGTGATATGTGCTGGTGTTCTTTGTTGTAATTTTTAACATAAGGTGAACAACACCACAGTTGGTGATTACTCAAGGTTTCCAGATTGTGGAATTCATGCCAACTTTGTAATACTTTGTTTCAAAGTAGGAAGCCACTAAATTCACCTTCCTACCTCCTTCACAACCATTAATATTGAAGTATTATCAGTTTAAGATTGGACACCTGTGGTTCAGATCATCTATTCTTTTTGGTACTAGTATTATTTTTTGGTACTAGTGATTGGACCCAAGGTTGTTTTACCTCTGATCTATATCCCCAACCCTTTTTGAAATTTGAGGCAGGGCTTCACTAAGTTTCTGAGACTGGCCTTGAACTTGTGATCTTCCTACTTCAGCCTCCTGAGTTGCCGGGGTAATAGGCATGTGCCACTGTGACTGGCTGATTCAGGACTTGGAGTGGTTTTGAAGCTTTATTTGATTGAACTGGTGTGATTCATAAGGAGTGTCATGTCCAAAAAGATGATAATGATCTGTGAAGACCTAAAAAGTTAGATTTTTTTCCCTCTTATCATTTTTTTTTTTAAGTTAGGTTGCTTCACCTTTATAATTACTATAGAAGATAGGGAAAAGCAGTGTTTTGCCTTGTCTCACTCATGTAGTCAACATAACACTCTGACACCAGGTGTATGGAGGTTTTTCCCTTATACTAGTCATTTAATTCTCCAATGGACATCAGTTGGATGGCCTATAATTCAATTCTAACATTATCACGTTGAATCCCCACTGGTTGACAGGTTGACTGTTTCCACTGCAGATGCCAATTACAAATCCCAGGCTGTGACCTATGCTTCTGATGGACAAGCTATAGATCGATATTCCCATGACCCTATTCTTGGGTTTGATTAATTGCTACAGCAGTTCCCAGACCTTAGAAATGCTTTACTTACACTTACCATATATTATAAAGGATATTACAAAGGATACAGATGAACAACCAGAAGGAAGAGGTATGGGGGAGAGGCATAAGCTTTCATGCCCTGTGTAGGTGCACCAGCCTCTAAGGCACCTCCATGTTCAGCAACCCAGAAGTTCTTCAAACTCTTGCTATTTGGGGTTATTTTATGGTAGCTTCATTATGTGGACATGATTGTTTACATTATTGGTCATTGATAATTAATTCAACCTTCAGCTTCTTTCTCCTGTGGTAAAGGTGAGTTGGAGCTTCAATTTCCAACTCTTGAACTAAGTCTTAATCTTTCTCATTTCCTGCTTTCATTCTGAAGCATTCTAGGATCCCCCAGCCACCAGTCATCTCATTATCATAAAAAAGATGCTGTTTTCAGTTCAAGATTCCAAGGGTTTTTAAGGAGCAATGTGCCAAGAGGACTCAGGGATAAACACTAAACACACACACACGCACACACACACACATACATATATATATTTTATATTTTTATATTTGTGTGTATATGTGTTAATAATATACCTACATTTTAAAAATTAGGTTGAACTATATGTAATTATTTATATTTGGCCATATTTCACCTAAAAGTTGCCAATTTCATAAATTTATCCCTCCTATACTATGAGGTATTTTTGTGGTTTAAAGAATTTCCTTTTTAGTCTCATTATTATTTTTTTTTAATTTTCATTTTTTTTATTGATTGTTCAAAACATTATAGAGCTCATGATATATCATCTTCCATACATTGGGTTTTGAACTCCCCAAATACATATTGCAGACTCACTTCTGTTACATACTCACATTTTTACATAATGGCATATTAGTGACTGTTGTATTCTGCTACCTTTCCTATTTTAGTCTCATTATTGATCAGTAGCAGGGGATTGAGGAGACTATGGAAATGAAGGTAAAAAAAGTCTCAAGAATGTTTTAAATCTTTGATTAATTGACAAATAAAATCTTAAAATTAGTGCTAGTAAATATATATAATTAAGATGTCATGTTTATATTTCTAGGTAAGTAGATTTTTATATATTATATACAGATAAATCATAGTTTAGAAATTCTTCTGTTCCAGTTTATAATTATGAATTATACTATTTTTCAATAATGTATAACTATTAAAAAACACTTTCTTTTGTTCTATTTAAGACAAAATGTTCCATTTGAAGAATATACAAGGCTTCAAAAAAGACTAAAAGATATACAGAGACGACATAATGAATTTCGAAGTCTAATTTTGGTTCCTAACATGCCTCCAACAGCATCTGTCAATCCTGTTAGCATACAGTCATCAGCCGTGGTTCCAGGCATGGAACTGTCCTTTCCTCCACATATGCAGGTATGAACATTTATTTTAGGAGAAGAGAAAGTCAAACATGTCTATAATGTGTAAACAGAGATAAAACTAACAAAAAATGGCATGTCCATTTAAGGCCACTGTTAACTTTTCTTCTTTCATTTATCATAGAAATGTGCTGAAAAGTAGACTTGAATGTATTCCATCCCTTTAAAATGATGGTGTTGGGAGTAAAATCTCCTATTGAGCAATAGATAGGAGACTTGATAAATGAGTCTTTGAGTAGGCTAGAGTTTGTAGCTTGTTCATTCACTACTACTGAGCATTTACTAATGCAGTGCACTCTTCGTCTTCTATACATTTTAACATTAATGAAAAAAACTTTGAGGCAGGTATTATTATTCTCAAATCACAGATGAAGTACCTGAGTCATAGAAGTGGAATGACTTGCCTAAGGTCATAGCTTAATAAAAAAGTTAAGTTTTAAACCTAAATCCTGTGATTCCAAAACCTGGGCTACTTCTGCTATGTCAGGCCCCTGAGATATTGAAGGAATCAAATTGATTGGCTGGTTTTCAAAAGATGGACATTTAATAAGTAATTATGTTTTATATTGTAAGCATGGAAGATTTTAGCCACTGAACTGAATCTCAGACCAAGTGCTTTGTTTATAATAAACAGCTGTTAAAACCAGTCTCATTTGAAAGTTGCCATGTAAATATTCCTGGCCTTGTCTTAGTATTTCTAATTTCCTCCCTAGTGAATTTTACACCTAGCAAAGAATAGGCTGTGGGTTTTGCTTAAGGGTAGAGCCTGAGGCAGGAGAGAAGCAGTAGTTAGTATACTGTTTCACCCATAGTAGTCTGTTTTTAGACTGCTAGAGTGGACATCATTTCCCTGCCAGGTTGTTGCGGGCCTATATAAGAAAGGCAGGCAAGGCTACTATCCAGCAGGGACTTTTTTTATTTTTATTTTTTTTCCTGACAGTTTCTTTCACTGTGCTTTCCTACATCATTTTTAAGGAGGAACAGCATCAAAGGGAACTCTCGCTACTTCGAAAAAGACTGGAAGAACTAGAAACAACACAAAGAAAACAACTAGAAGAACTAGGATCTCCTGGGGAATGATGTTCTTGGATAAAAGGCAGATCAAAAGGGGTGAAATAAAGATACTCAATAAAGCATGCAGTTTTAATGTACATGGCATTGATATACTTTATTACTGTTTGCCAAAATACTTAAATGTGCCTCTAAAAAAGGTATCAGCTACATGCTGCATTGCATGATATTCAGATTTTCCGATTATACTGATGACTAATAAAGCATTAAAAGAAAGTTTCAGAGATATTTTACAATATATAATATCTGAATATAAAAATAAATAATAAATAGGGAATCAAGTTTTAAAATTTTCACTTCTAAATTTTTTTGGCATTTTGCCTGAAATGTACCCATCTTAAATTCTTTTTTTTTTCATCTCTGAGGTGCTTGACAATAAGAACGTCAGTAAACTGCTTTACTAATATATAAGAGTTTTAAATTTCTAGTTTTTGGAAAAAAGATGACAATTTAAAGGTACATTTTAAAAATCTTTAAAGGTATCTAAATACATATGTTTATTGCAAAAGGCTACCTTTTCTAAAAGCTGTGTACACATAATTTATTAAAAAGCTTAATAAATATTTTTCTACCTAAGTATATTGTTTTGTGTTTGTGTTTAATTTTTTGATCTTAGAGTGTATGTTTTAGCAGTTTAGAAGACTTCACTGATTTTGGCTTTGTTGAGTTGGGATCAGTAGATAATTAAATCCTGTGGCTGTTTAAAAGGGCTGTTGATCACAAAACTTGAACCCAGTGGGATTCTCTCTAGAAGTATTATTATTTAACTTTGTTTCCCATTATTTTGGATCAAATCAAATAATTGTGTTTTATTTGTGTGTCCCTAAGTATGTCATTATTTACCTTGTTTTTCACCGTGCATCCTTTGGAAGCTTTCTTATGTAACATCTTTTCAAGGAATTCTGCTGGAGTAAATTCAAGTCAACAAGGCAAAGCTCAACTCTGCCAAACTAAATGGAGAATTCATTATCCAGAAGTCTTCACAGTCAAAAATCCATGATGATAGTGGAGGATAGGAATGTAATTGAGCAACCCTTAGCATCATTTAGCAAGAAATTTAAGTTTACTTGTAACTAGAAAATTTAGGAGGAAACAAAAAAGCCAAAACAGTCCATAATTACATCAAAATGTTTATTTTTGGATATAGACATTTAAAACATTCATCTCCAAGAACAGCTTCAATCAGGTATACAATAAGAAATAGACTTTAAATCCTAATATGGAAAAGATAACAGAATTAATTTTTTAAATGCTGCTGTAGACACTAGTGTTAGAAAAAAAAAGTTTATAAATGAATTGTTTTGCACCAAAAAATATGCAAAGAAACTTAAAAATATTGTTTGCCATTTGTTTCTCTAGTTGCTGTTTAATGTAGACCCAGTGACTGATTGTCTTCAGCACACATCTGATTTGGCCATTTACTGCATTTGGCTAATGTGATCCAAAATGTGATCTAGATAGTGCTCTTCACTGGTGGATTGACAAACACGCTACATACATTAGTGAATCTTCACACCACCTCAGTGAGGTAGGTTAGAAATATTATACAGAAATCGAGGCACAAAGAGGTAAGTGACTTGCCCAAAGTTTCTAACAGCACAGTACCTGGAAGAGGAGGTAACTCTCCACACAGGACTCATGTGCCAGAGCTGGACAGGAACATCCTCGTGTAGCATTTAGTAAGTACTTAGATAAATAAAGCTGTCGCTGATCCTTTGAGTTTTCTGTACCCTGGAGAAGGGAAGTCTTTTGGGCAACTCTCCTACCCTTGGCTCTCACTCTTACAGTTCTCTTATGAATGCCTTCACCTCTTTGAAGACTGTAGCAGCTTTGGATGGGGACCAGACCTCTCACCTTTAGACCTACAAGTAATCTATTTGGTAGTATTTTTGAGATGTGTCCTTTGGACAGACAGTGGTCAAAAGTGATAGGATTGGGAATGTGTGTATCAGGGCAGTAACTGCTTATTTCTCTTAACCCTTTGATGAGGTGTCACCTCTCTCACAGTTTACCAGATATTAAGGAGCAAATATGAGTTGCGTTTACCTAACGAACTTACGTTTCAATCCTGATGTTCCATACAGTGTTGGTAAATGGGTTTAAGGAATGTGGGATCAGTGGTTTATTTGCTACTTGAAAAAATTTCTATCCTAGATTAGGGATTTGGAGCACCAAGGGTAAAAGGTGCCTGCCACAAGGAAAGCTTGAGAGTTGCCAATTAACACTTTTTACTTCTGATTTAATAGAAGGAAAACACAGTGGTATTAAAATTGGTCATGAGCAGCAAAAATTCAGGAATAAAAAACTCAGCAATAAAAAGACTACAATATAACTGGAAAGGGAATTGTTTAAAAAGAAAGGCATGAATAAAATGGGTATTTTAAATTCTTTCTCCTGTAAGGAATACTTTCAAAAAGTACATAGTAAGACTAAGATACCAAGTTGTATACTAATATTTCTCAGGCCTTGGGCCTCAAATATATATATTTATATATAATACTCCAGTGTGAACAACAGTTTGATGAAATGCAAAATGTATCTTTTTTTTTTAATCACACACAAGTATTTATAACCACAGGGTTCACCAGAAATCTAAAGCAAGGAGACACTAGTATAGAAATGTAGGATTAGAGGAGTGACTTACACTTCCACAGATAGTTCTGATCAAGGTTTTTCAACAGAAATAAACAATTTTTTCATTTATATAATACCCAACATGTCCACTATCAAATACATTTAGTATGAAAAGATAAAAAAGGAACATACATTAGGACACAGTGGGTAAAATGCTGTTGCATTTCAGTAAAGCCCACTCACTCTCCTTGCTTTAGAGCTCCTTGATGCAATGGAGGTGAGTTCGGTGGAGTGCAGTTGGTGACCGCTGAAAAACACGAGCCCTTTCAACAATGCTGCAACACTGTTAGTTTTTGGTTTAAACACACACACACACTCACAAATGCTAAGTGTACACACTACCAAATTCTGCGGTCAGCTTTTCCAAGAACTACTAGGGAAAGTTTCAATGCTGCAAATCCTCGAGGTTGCCCTAACACTCCCACCTTGTTTCCAAATGACTCATTTCACATTTTGTTTTGAGTATCCCTTTTCTGCAGAGGTGCAGTGTAGTCACAAGTGCTACATAGCTGTAGTTTTCCAACAAAACCACTTAGATAACATTGTGCTTAAGTGGAGACTGTAATTACAATACTGACACTTGCTTACTGGCCCTGTATTCTCTGTAAACAAGGAGGCTGTTTGCAACAACCACTTCCACTCTATTTACAGAAGGGTTCCCACGGTATACACACAGGCACAGTGGTTGATATGCTTTCTAAAAGCTGTGCATGTGCCTTGGTCTCTTGAAAAGACAGTGCTCAAAGTGGAACCCATGTGCAAACTTAAAAATTAACGACACAGAGTAGCTCAAGCAGCCATTTTGCTCCCAAGTCGTCTGAAGAACTTTGCCAGGTTAAGCCAGGCCCAGAGTGCTTACATCCACTTGCATTTCTTCTTTTCATCAAATAAGACTTTTACATGCAAGAGTTGTTTCTGAGCTTCTTCCAGCCCTCGTTCTCTTTCTAGTTTATTTAGAATCTGTTGACAATTAGAACAGTTATTTTAGATATTATGGTTTTAGCATTACAATTCTTTTTTTTTTTTTTTTGCATTCCTGATGCTGTGAGTGGGTAAAATCTGTATGAAACAGATGCCAACATTTTCTTCGATCATTTACATACTCACTTTGCAAGTTGTTTTGCTAAGTCATTATCACAGGATCAACAACACTTTGGCTTAAAATAGAAGCCCACAAGAAAATACCAACTATTTGCTTACAAATATGAGGCCAGACTTCCCAGGCCCTACTTTATGCATTATATCACAGCCATTCCAAGCACAGCAAGCATTCCTGGGCAGCCAACATGCAGGCAAGTATTTCTTCTTAAATGCAGCAGGCAGGGGCATCCTAGTCTGAGAGGAAAACTTCCCTCCCTTACCTCCCCTCCTGGGCAGCCTAGTCCCTCCTCTCCCTCCCCTCCCCAGTGCGTCCCTTCTCGCCCCTAACCCCTGGAATAAGAGGGATGCTTATCATGTTTAAGGAACTCATTGCCTCTACCCTACCTTAGCGCTTCACTTGATCTTCAAGTAGCAAATGGAATTGGTGAGCTATTCTCACCAGTGACATGGATAGCCTGTCCCAGCATGACTGAGTGGGGGGGAATCAGGGAAGGGGGAATTAACATTTATTTGGAAACAACGCATCCAGATTAAGGAGAACTAATCATAAAGGAGAATGGTAGTTCATTACTAATGGTTGTAAAAAGCCTGAATTAAAACATTTGTTATTGAAATAGTTGCTTAAGTTAGAAATATGTCATAATTTCCTACAACTATTGAATATAGAATCTAGACGATTTAACAGGCTTAGCTTTCGTTTTTAGCAGACTACAATCAAGCTTAAGCTGGCCCCATTTACAGGGCCACAAATTACTCATTAAAGTTAGCTTGAGTCAGTGTGGCTGTAGGCCCCATGAACTCAAATGTAAATTCAGGCTGGTCCAAATGTGGGCAGCGTCATCTATCAGAGGGGCAGCCGTGTGCAGGGTCTGGCTTGGTGCCAGGATCCCCCATCTCAGGCAGGCTTCCTGGCCTCCCTTTCTGGCTGTTTGGGATGCCAGAACTGTCCTGAGACCCACAGAACGCTATAACCAAATCCTTGTGGCTGATTCATAGCTTTAAAAGATGTTAAATAAAATCTTACCTCATCAAAATATTTTACGATGTATTTGTAGATTTCTGTCAAGGCCACTTCTTCATTAAATTCATTTTCGTGTTTCTAAAACAAAGAAAGTCCTGTTGAGAGACTCTGAAATGAGTTTTTAAAAAGGAACCAAATACAAGCTTATTTCTGTTTCTAATGCTACCTTAGATTCCTGAGTTAAGAATTCTTCCATTTCTAAAGGTGACAATGGAGGCAAATCCCTGATTGCTTTGTAATAAGATTTTACTTCCTCTTTGTAGGTCGGGATATCCTTGGCATAGAGCAGTTTATTAGTTGGTGCTTCCTGGAAAAAAAAAAAAAAAAAGAGAATTCACCACCGAAAGAGTAAAAGACATAGGGAACTTGTAAAAAACGGTACAGTGTAGCTGCACCCCCACCACCCACCAGTATTACACCTAACAAGGCTTTGTGCAGGAGGCCTCACTAAATGTTGACTGAGTGACTGACTGCCATCTAGATAGTTCTGGTGAGTCACTGTTATTTTCAGGCGTATTAAATGCTAATATATTCTGCCTTCCTCTCATAAAAGAACTAAAATTATTATTTTTGCATGATTTTGAGTTACTGTAACAATGGAACTTATTTCAATCATAGTTCATTACTAATGGTCGTAAAAAGCCTGAATTAAAAACATTTGCTCTCATCCTCACCCACCAGTGAATTTTGGCATTTATAAAAGGCTTGATTGTAGGTCTGATTGAGCCCTTTATATAACTCTAAAACTGGAAAGTAATTGGTGGTGGCAGATTTTCCAGCTTGTCCCTCATTTCATTAGGTTATAAAGATCTTCCAATTCCCCCAAGGAAGTGCATGGTTATTGGTATTAGTGGCCCTGATGACTGATTTTGCAAAGGTTCCTGGGCAGTTTGAATGGTTGTATGTAATTATATTGGTGAGAATATTTAAAAATGAGATAAGTGAAGATTTTAAGGAGTCATGATTTTTCACAAAATGTAAAATTCTACTCAGGGAAGATAGGTGAGTTAAATGATAGGGGTTATGTCCCAAAGAATTTTATAAAGTCCAATGGTTAAATCAATGGTTGGATGAATCATTGTGAAAGATGCATTAACTGAGAGATTTCTGAGGTGTTCTTATCAAGTTTAAGTGGAATGATCAAACCGAAATGATCATTCATTAATTCAGTGACTATTTAGGCAGGCACTGAAAGTGTAGAGATGACCTGACTTTGAGAAGCTTACCATCTAGTTGAGAGAACAAATTTACAGTGAGTAATTTATCAGTAATTAGTACACTGTAAAGAACATTTACTATAAACAAGCATTTAAGTGTCTTTAGGGTGCTGCCTGCTAAGTTGAACTTTATTAGTGGAATAAAGAGGCACAGAGGAACATGCCTCAGGAAAGGTTCACTGATCAGAGTCTCCTATGATTTCTGGCACACATCAGGAAATCATTTTTGTGAATGAATGAATGAGTAGGATTTTACCAGACAGAGGGTTGTGAGACAGGAAAGACATGAGCAAAGAAGGGTGGAAACAAGTTCCTGGTATGTGTGGAAAAGTTAAAACATGGAGCATGCCAGAAAATGAGGCCAGAAAAGATGCCTGAAGCCAAGCAGGAAGGGCCATGCAGCACTGTGAAGACTTCCCCTGGTAGGTCATGGAAACATTTTCAATTTCCTAAGCAGGATGCTGGCAAGTTCAGATTCAGATTTATATTTTACAAAGATAACATGAGACAGCGGAACAAGGTTGTTTAGAGAGGCGGGGTGGACAGCAAGGGCATTGAACACTCATCAGGAGGCAGTTATCCCAGTGGAGAGGGGATGAAGGGACAGGTGCTGTAGAGAAGAGAGTGGAAGGAGGAAGAGTCAAAGATGATGCAGAGGATTGCTCCTCGAGAGATCAGGCAACTCAAAAGTGAAAACAGTGTCTTTTTGCAGAAAGAGTGGTGACAAAATTGAAATTATGACGAGGGATCTGAGATACCCGTGAAACATCAATCACCATTCATTCCAGGTACTCTGAAAATCCTACCAAAGAGCCACTTCTCAGCGTTCAAAGATTTTCTGAAATCCATTAGATACAGATATTGCTTGGTTTAATATATTTTGGAGTGCTCGGAAAGGACTAAAACATCTCTTTCAAAGTTTGCTCTGTTTTTTTGTTTTTTTTTTTAAATCTTTGCTTTCTTCCGCCTTTTGATCAACAAAGAAAGCCATAGGAAAGCAATATTCATGCTTTGATTATAAACTGACAAACTAATATTGTTAGAAATCTTGGGTAAATTTTTCTTCCCCATAAGCCATTTGTTATATTAAAATAGACTTCTGAAAAATATACTCAGATGTAATTAACTTGAGCAAATATTAATAGTTTCATACTCTGGATTAGTAGTTTATCAGTGCCCATCAAGTGTTTTTCTAGGAGACAAAGTATTTGCTTGATGGTAAAGTTTTTCAGAGGCACAATTCTATAATAAGATGGGGCTATGATTTTGGTTTTTACTTTAGAAACAATTAGATCAAAAGTAAATGTGCTAAATTTTAAAGAAAAGCAAATTTATAATGACCAAGATTGACTTTTTCTTTTCAGCTGGTATAGTTTAGATCCACTACTTATTACTTGAATGTTTACAAAACAGAGTGCTTCCAACTTGGGAGCATGTTCAAGAAACCGGAAGCTGGGCCTTACCTTCCCTAGTTGCTGCTCCGTGAGAGAAAAGGCATCCATGAATGCCTGAGCAATCACTGACAAACAGCCATCTATGTGTGGTGTCTTCTTAATGTCAAAGACAAACTGAGGGTTCTTCAGGATGTTTACCCAGAAGCGAAGAGGAAGGCTGTTCAAAGAGAGAATAATCTCTTCTCAAATACAGCCATTCATGGGAGGCCAGTGTTCTCTTTATCAATTTATAAACTGGTGTTTACATCCTTAATGAAGTACACAAATCTGCTTAGACACACAAGGCAGTGTCACTCAGAACAAGAAAGGGTTAAGCCAACTGCTACTGAAAGGCAGACCAGAGGAGTCTAAAAGTGGTCACGGACTGGACAAGATTTTTCTCCATATAATTCTTGATTATATTAGATGATAGTCACCAGTGAAAACCTCTCACTCAGATCTCCTGGACCTGACATCCTCTCTGTGACACTCTGGTCTAAGCCACCACCGACTCTCACCTGGATTATTTGCTTATCACCTCGTGTACTGTAGTGGACATACTTGACTTGCTGTCTGCACCTTTTCAGAACGTAAGCTCTGGGAGGAAATGGTTTGGTCGTCTGTTTTGTTCATAACTGTCCTCCATCACCCAATAGTGTTTGGCACATTGTTAGTATCAAAGTAAGTAGGTGAATATGAACTTGGGGATCGTTTCAGAGTCCTTCCATGATCTCCATTTCAACGATGGCCTTGCTTACTACCTCCACTGCATGGCTGCTGGTGCAGTCATAGCTTTCCTAACCTGGTTGCTTCCCTGCTCAGAGGCCACAATATTCACCATGCAATGGTGACCTGCAGGACCTATGCTGGGTGTGGGAGGAATGAGACCTGGGAGCTAGAAGCTAGAACACAGGAATGGAATGAGCCAGAGGAGAGCTGGAACAGACCTGGATTAATGAAAAAAGACTGAACCTGCAACTCTGGGACTTTTACAACTGTTTAAAATGACTCAGCTGACAGTGCTCAGAGGGGCTTGAGCTTGTATGGGAAGTTCTATCACTTAACTCTGAGTCTTATTTAATTCTAGCACACAGTATTTCTAATAGAGGTAATGAGCCGTGTTTCTTCTCTGAGAAGACACTAGAATATATCTGGATGCCCTACCTTTTCTTCAGTTAAAATACAAACAACAACAACAATAATAAAAAACAATGTGAACCTTTGTTATTTCATTTAACAGATACACCTTCAGCACCTCCTCTGTGGGAAGAGATGGGTTGCTGCCAGGCTTAGGGCAAGGAGCGAGAAGACCTCCTTCAGCCCCAAATGGAATGCACATTACAATCAATAACTAATTCTTATGTTATCTGAGAACTGCATTTGATAAAAGCATGAATTTCTATACACTGATAGCCTGAAATTTGCAAATTGATTATTTTAGGAACCAGTAAAAGTTTCCTCTAATGGAAAAACAGTATGGTAAAACCACAACGTATTAATTTTTCATCCTTTGCTGGTCTAACATTCTAAACAGTCTCTTTCATGCATTAAAGATAACTTTATTTTATCCTAAAGAACAGGATTCCTGGCATAGAAACAGTTTCATGCATTGTTTAAAAATAGAAAATAGCAGCCAGGTGTGGTGACACACGCCTATAATCTCCGTGGCTTGGGAGGTTGAGGCAGGAGGTTTGAGGCCAGCCTCAGCAGTTTGGCAAGATCCTAATCAACTTAGTTAGACCCTGATTCAAAATAAAAAGGGCTGGGGGTGGCTGCATAGGTAAATGCCCCTCGGTTCAATTCCTCATTCCCCCAAGAAAGAAGCAAGAAACTACTTTGATGCCATATCTTACCAAGCCCAAAGATTCTGATAAGAGATAAATGAATCCTTCTGTAACTATCTCTGCCCTCCTTTTAGTTAATATTCTGTCCTAGATTCTTGGAAATGTCAATAATCACCTACATTCCCACCTGTTTGTTTTCCAAATATGTACGACATCAGGATCTGTGATTTTTTTATTTTCAGCCTGGGCATCCAAGAAGTCAAAAAAGTATTTTATAGCAAATGGGGCTCTGCTGTTGGGTAAACTCCAAATGCTTCTGAAAAGTTTTTCAAGCACAGAATGAATTGCCACCTGAAAGAGAGCGTGAGGTTTGGGAAATTAAAAAATATGGTAGTGGTTTTGAAAACATTAGAAAACCAAATCTAGGTTCAGGGAAAATGATGTGCCAACCAGAGAAAAACAAGCTGAGAAGGAAAATGTAAAACTGTCAAATGAGGCCAACACTCACAGTTTGGGACAAAGGTCCTGGGAGTCTTTGCTCAGGTTTAGATTTGGCTGGTAAGCCTCTTGCTCTTAGCAACATTGTTTAGTCAACAGAGAGGAGATGGTGGCAATCTCTAGGAGTGGAAGGGCTGTCAGCTGTAGGGCTTTATATATAAACCAAGAAGCCACGGAGGCTTTGCTTTTATTAATTATGTTTAGCCTGGAAAACTCAAGCAATGTTGCTCTGTTTCCAGATTTTTTCCTGCTGCCTGTATTTTCATCATAGGGTTTATTGTGTACTTTCCAAAGCATTTGAGTATATTATAGAAAAGCAAATAGGCTGAGCTCTCTGGGGAAGCTGAGAAAATCAAGAGGCTCAGGCTGTCCTCTGCCCACTAAACAAATCTCCTAAACTCTAAGCAGATTCCCTGCCATCCATAATCTGAAGCAAGCATGCCCAGCAAGTCACTAGCGCCAGGTGTAGATAGTAGCATTTATATTGCTAGTCAATCCAGGGAGAAAAAAGAAAAATCACCACCAACTTGTGTTAATGTCACTAAGAGCCTGATGAAGTAAAATTTGCTCCTGATCTGGTATTCTGGTGGCTTCCCCATGTGACACTTATATGTGAACAGAATTTCTAATTTTAAAATGAAAAAACCTGGTAACATTTTACCAGGTTTATAGCCACTGACACCCTCCCTCCTTCATTTTATTTGCAATTCGAAGAAGGAAGTTTATTGCTTATCTCTAATAACAAGTAAACAAAAAGGAATAATTATGCTGTCAACCTAAAAAATAACAATAGTGAAATGGTGGGTAAGGAACAATATTAAAATCCCTGATTGAAGACTTACAGTAGAAATTTGTAAAGTGCTGTTATCCTTGCAGTTTATAAAAAGAAGAAGGAGATGGGAAGTGTTTACAATTTAAACTTTCATTTTGCTTTGCTAGAAGGCACAAGGGATTTGTAACATTTTCACACTTCAGTGGAAATTAAGTCAAACACATCATATACCCCCAAGGTAGCCGTAAAAGCTCTCCCAGAACAGTAAGTGTACCTTGGTCGACAGCAGCTTTGTCAGATACATTTCTTTTACTTTGAACTTGTGTTTCCCTCGATGTCTCTTTCCTTGCACATCTTGGAATGCTTCTGAATCTGGTAAAATCTAGAGGGAAGATGGAGTAGAAGTGTTACCTGAAGAGACCATTTGTGCCACAGAAGGCCTATGATTCAGCAATGAGCAGAGAAAGCCTGAACTCACCAAATGGCAGTGGTCATCCGAGTACTCCACATCTGAGTGTCAGAGAGAGGGAGAGAAAATAATTCATTAAGAAAAACAAACAAATATACACCCAGGCCTAGTTAGCCTTCTCAAGGTAAGCCCCACTTGTGCTGGAAACCAAGAGCTCTTCCTTGTTGCCTTTCCCATGCTGCACCTTAAGATCTTAAGAACAGTGTAAATGCAGGATGAGTGGGGACTAGAGCAGAAAGCAGGTTCCCTGTCCCTGGAAATGTGGAAACAGGCTGAGTGTCCATTTGCCGGGACAGGGCAGGAGGGGCTCAAGCCTTGTTATATTTCATTTAACAAATATACCTGCAGCACCTCCTCTGTGGGGAGAGAGGGGGTTGCTGCAAGGCTTAGGGCAAGGAGCGAGAGGACTTCCTTCAGCCCTAAATAGAATGCACATTATAATCCCTGAGAGTCATGAAACTACTAATTGCATAATTAATTACAATGGTGGTAAGGATTTTAAGAGAACTATAAGCCAAGGAAGTAACTAACAAGGCACCCATCTAAGTCTAGGAGTTTTCTTTAAGGAAGGGATGTTGAAGCTGAACTCAAGAGTTAGCCAAGTAGGTGGCCAAGACCCCAGGATGGAAACGAATGTGCCCCTCCTAGGACTAAAGAAAGGCAAGGAGGTGGCAAGGCAAGAGTGGCATAGAGCAAAGACATTCTCCAGGGAAATCAAAATTATCGTCAGAAAAGATAAAGGGAAGGGAAGATGGGGATTAAGGCATTGGATTATTTTTTTTTCTTTTTCTTTTTTTGTCTTGAAGATGAGAGAGACCAGGACATCTGAAATGCTGATGGGGAAAAAAAGCAGTGATGGCGAGGGAAAGCAGTCAATTAAAAAGCAACCACTGGCTCACTGACTAAAGAAGAGCCCAGTGGTGCAGGAATGCTCAGAAGGCTGAAGAAGATGGAGAGTTGTGACCATCAAACTGGCCTTGGGAGGGGGATGAAGGAGCAGCAGTGGGCAGGTGCAGTAGGTAGGCAGGTTTGGTGCTGGATGTTGAGTTCTGGTTTCAGTCTTCTCTGTGCAGGATGAAATCATCTGCCAATAGTCGGGAATGCTGTGTGGTCGGGGCTCTGAGGCAAAGTTGACTTTGGGGACAGAGCTCTAGGAAAACTCAGTGGTGGTAGGCCGAGTGGAGACTCTGGTCAAGCTGACTATCATGTGTGTAAGTGACCCCAGCAGCTGTTGAGTGAGTTTTTTTTTTTTTTTTTTTTTTTTTTTTTTGCAACTGTACACTGTAGGCTCAGTAAAGGCTAATATCTGGGTTCACCAAAGCTGGGACTTTGACAGAGGGGCTTCTGACAGGGCAGAGGGGCAGGGCCTTGGAGTTTTAGCAGAATAGTAATCAAAGTGATGGCTTTCAGTGGGATTGGATAGGGAGGAAGCAGAGACTGACTATCTGGAGTCCCAGAAAGAGATCCAGACCTAAGATTGTACTATTCAATCCCCAGATGACAGGCTCTTCAGAAGACCCAGGCTTTGAGGCTTAAAAAAACCAGCTTTCCCCCTTTTCACAACATAAGGACACCCTCCTCTATATGCCACAGTGACAGCCACTCTCCAAATAACACCACTGTAGCTTAATAAAGTAGTGGAGGGTGGGAGTCTCTCAAGGGGTATCCTGAAAGCTACCAAATATTCATCAGGAGCCCTGCAGCACTGACCAGTTGCTGGAAACTACTAGTTTCAGAAAACTAAAAGTCTGAAGTCCCTCCTTCCAGTAGTATGGGTGAGAAGGTGCCTGCTAGGGAGAAGTCCAGAACCCTCTGAGGGCTGAGGACAGGCCTTCTTTGCTGGGGTATAACTGCTCTGGAGACAAATCCAAAACAGGAGACCTAGGGACTTTCTCAAGGCATTACCACAGTATTTTTCTGCTCTGAGGATGTCAGAAGAGGACTTTGGATATTGGCCTGTTGACTTTTCCCTAAAAGCTCCCTCTTGAGTTTCTACTTTCCTGAGAAGTTTGCAAGGTGCTATCACACTGGATTCTCCTAGTGGACTATCTTGTTTGTTCAGCTCTTGCTGGGCTGGGGGTTATCTGCAAGTTTTCCTCTCAGTTTGCCAAGAGGACCTCATTGCTATCTCTCATCCTACTGTGCTGTTGGAAAAGACCTATAAGGGCTGAGATTCTACCCTGAGTTTAGAGCCATTAAGAGGCAGCAACTTCCTTTATGCTAGGCTGTCTGGGCCAACACAGTTTATAGTTTCCTTTCCTGCTTCTTGCAGGGCCCTTATTCTTAGGACTAGAAACAGATCGAAATGGCTTTTCTCAGCTTTCAGAGAATTATGTAGCAACAACTCTATCTCAGCTTTGTGACAATATGTCTGAGAGAGGCAGAAACCAATACTTTATAAAGCTGGGTGAGAACAAAAGGTTAACAATATTATATTGGTTACCTGAAGTAAAATTTGCTATCTTCTTAAAGACTTTTATAGTGGATCCATTTGATATCTGAAAGCAAAGATAAAAAATATATGAGTTTTCAAAATTTAATGTATTTCTCAACTTCACTCAGGAATTAGATGGCTGGATGGTTCTTACATTCCCTCACTTATTAAATCAAATATTTATCAAGAACTGCTATGTCCTGGGCACTGTGCTTGGGCTGGGGCTATCTAGAATGACAAGGCACTGTCTCTGCCCTCAAGGAACTCATGGTCCTATGGAGGTGACAGATAGATAGTGAGGTAAGGAAAGTGCCCAAAAGATAGAGGGCAGGACGCTGTGGCACAAATGGCCACTCCCCAACTTCTCAGAGGCCCAGGGGCCTGGGTCAGTTTTGTTTTTTGAGGCTCCTACTTATTATGGGTTGAAATATTCGTGTCTCTTCCAAATTCTTCTAAATCCTAACATGATGGTATTAGGAGGTGGGCCTTTGGGGAGGTGATAAAGTCATGTGGGTGGACCCTCAGGAGTGGAAGTAGTGCCCTTATAAGAAGAAACACCAGAGATTGCTCTCTGCTCTATTATGTGAGGATACAGTGAGAAAGAGAGTCCTCTGTGAACCAGGAAGAGGGCTTTCACCAGACTCTGGACCCACTTGTATCCTGACTATGGACTTCAAGCTACCAGAATTGTGAGAAATAAATGTTTGTTGTTTAAGCTATCCAGTGGATGGTATTCTGCTAGAGCAGCCTGAACTAAGACACCTAGTATATTAAGAAATGAAGAAATACCAAAACAGGTTCTCAAAAACTGGCATATAAAGCTGGGTGTCTACTCTACGACAGAGCAGTTTCACATGTAGGTCTATATTCAACAAACTAAGTAAATATTCTGATAGTAAACTATTTGAAACTGCCCCATACTGGAAATAACCTGAATACCCATCAACATTAAGATGAATAAATAAGTTGGAGTATTTTCTTGATTATAAAACAATGAAAAGGAGCTAACTACTGCTACATGTCACATGGGCAGATTTTACAACCATAATGTTGAGCAAAATAAGTCTGATAGGAAAGAAAGCATACTGTACAGTTCCATTATATAAAGCTAAAAAGCAACTCAGTCAAACTATGATATTAGATACTGGAGAAGAAAGTGGGGCTAGTGATCAGGAAGGGACAGGAGAGGGTTTCTGTTTCTTGACCTGGGTGCTAACTACAGGATGTACTCATTTAGTGAGAACTTATTCAGCAGAACCAATGACTTGATCTTTTTGGTAGGTAGTAGTGTTTTTGGTTTTTTTTAAGGATAAAAGTTATAAGAATTGCACATACTTTTTAACGAAAACTTGGCAAGTCTAACACAGGAGAGTGCTTATCATTGACTGCTAGGTATGTAGTTAATTGAATGTTCATCTAAGAACTCTACCTGAGTGACCACCACCCATATCCTGGCAGGAGCATTTCAAGGTCTTGAGAACGGCATCCATCACCTCTTCCCAGGCAACAACCACCCACCCTCATCCAGACGTCGTCATTTCTCCAATTTCCATCACATTGACAAGTTCTGCCTATTCTGTGCTTCATAGAAAGGGAATCTTACAAAATGGACACTAGCATTTGGCTTCTGAGGGTAAACGTAAGGTCTGTGATATTAAGCCACATTGTTGTGTCTGCCAGTAGTCCATCCTTTTTTATTCCTGTGTTCATTGCACAAATATGCTACAAAAAATTGCCAAACAATAAAGCATACATGCTGTGATGTGGCCAAACTTCAAAACACGAGAAGTGAAAGAAGCCAAGTCTCAAAGGACCACTTGTTGTATGATCTCATATACATGAAATGCTCAGAATAGGCAATTTACACCCACAGCAAGTAGACTACTCACTGCCTAAAGCAGGGAGGGGAGGAAATATCAGAATGGCAGCTATTATGAAGACAACAATAAGTGTTGGCAAGGATGTAAGGAAAAAGGCACACTCATTCACTGCTGGTGATACTGCAAACTGGCAGCCAATATGAAAAGCATTATGGAGATTTTTGGGGAAATTGGGAATGGAACCACCATTTGACCCAGCTATCCCTCTCCCTAGTCTATACCCAAACGACTTAAAAACAGCGTAATACAGGGACACAGATACATCAATGTTTATAGCAGCACAATTCACAATAGCTACACTATGGAACCAACCTAGATGCCCTTCAGTAGATGAATGGATAAAAAAGAAATGTGGCATATATATACAATTGAATAAAAAGAGAATAAAATCATGGCATTTGCAGGAAAATGGATGGAGCTAGAGAAGATAATGCTAAGTAAAGTTAGCCAATTTCAAATAACCAAATGCAAATGTTTTCTTTGATATAAGGACGCTGATTCATAGTGGGATAGGGAGAAGGAGCATCGGAGGAATAGACGAACTCTAGATAGGGCAGAGGGGTTGGAGGGAAAGGGAGGGGGTGTGGGGTTATTAATGATGGTGGAATGTGATGATCATTATTATCCAAAGTATATGTATGAAGACATGAATTAGTGTGAATATACTTTGTATACAACCAGAGAAATGAAAAATTGTGCTCTATACTTTTTTAAAGTTATAGGTAGACACAGTATCTTTATTTTATTTTATGTAGTGCTGAGGATTGAACCCAGTGCCTCACGCATGATAGGCAAGCGCTCTACCTCTGAGCCACAATCCCAGCCCCTGTGCTCTATATTGTAATAAGAATTGTAATGCATTCTGCTGTCATACATAAATAAAAAATTAGTTAATTTAAAAAAATGACTATACTTAAATGAGATCAGAAGAATTCGAACTATACCATATTTACTTTAATAGAACCATCTTTGATGTAAAAATTTTATATCTGGACTGGGGATGTGGCTCAAGCGGTAGCGCGCTCGCCTGGCATCCGTGCGGCCTGGGTTCAATCCTCAGCATCACATACAAACAAAGATGTTGTGTCCGCCGAAAACTGAAAAATAAATATTAAAAAATTCTCTCTCTCACTCTCTCTCACTCTCTCTTTTAAAATTTTTTTATATCTAACACAAGAATTTATTTCTGAAATAATCTAAAGGACTTTATTATAAAAACTATTTCATTTAAAACATGTTCCTGTCACATGAGCTCCAAGAATGGGTTCTAAGAATGTTTGTTCTCTCTTTAAAAAGAAAAATTATTGAATTACCTCTAAACTAAAGCCCTTTACTAATAAACACTACTGTTAAAAAGTTCTTATAGCTGTTGGGCATGATGGCACATGCCTATAATCTCAGCAGCTTGGGAGGCTGAGACAGGAGGATCACATGTTTGAGACCAGTCTCAGCAACTTAGCAAGGTCCTAGGTGAGAACTTGTTTCAAAACAAAAATTAAAAAGGGCTGGGATGTAGCACAGTGGTAAAGCACCCCAGGATTCAATCCCCAGTACAAAAAGAAAACAATTCTCACAGCTATATAATATGATATCATTACTTAAACTTCAAGGAAATAGAGAAAAAAATGGCTAACATCCCTTTATGTTATTAAATACTAGTTATTGGGTTGCCTTCCAGTGTCTTTTTCACATTAAATAGTTATGTTTAAAAAAAAAAGAGCAAATGCTAATGAAAACAGGGCTTCCTCTCGGGCTGATGACGATGTTCTAAAAGTGGATGGTGTCACTTTGCACAACTCTGTAAATTTATCTAGAGCCACTGGATTCTACACTATGAACAGGTGGGCTTTAAGGTATATAAATTATAACTTAGTAGACCTGTTAAGAAATCGCCACAGATTTTAAATGTATACATTGATAAATACTTTGACCTTAGTATCATGCTCATGCTGTGCCTAGGTAAAGCCTGTTTTGGAGATGAAGTCCTCACCTGAAGCCTTCTAGGACCATGAAGCCCAGGGCAAGTGGCCCTCTAGTGAGTGCCCTGATGGGTCCTGGGAAACAGCCAGGTATAGAAGTGACCTTCAGGGAAGGAGAGATGAATGCTAAGATCCTAAGGGCAAACTTGGCTCCTTATTTGTTTTGAGGGAGGGGCTGGTCCCCAATAGTTTAAGATGAAGTGGGTGAAGAGGAGGTGGGTCAGGGAATACAGCTCCCCACCTTGGTTCTGGGATCATGGCAGGGAAGCTTACGTCCTTTCTGAACATTATCAGCCAAGCGATGTGTCCTTCCACTGAAGCTCCAAGGCTGTTTTAAACTCTAATGCCTGGCCTTCCCCAGTTTGGGGGGAAAAGAAAAACAAGAAGCTAGTCATTTCTCTTCTAGCTTGCTGCACATTGGTTATCAAAAAGCCTCCCTCACAAGCTTCTAAGGATTAAACCTAATCTTCAGGTCACACCCATGGAGAGAAAAGCAGAGAGAGAGCCAGCTCTCTAGGGGGCCCAACATAGCTGTCCAGCCAGCTGTGTCCAGCCAGTCCCTGAGTGATGCTAGGGGTCTCCAACTGCTGGCGTTGGAGACATCTCGAGAGAGGAGGGCTGGCTGGGTGAGCAGGTCTTCAAAGTGTCACCAGTGGGGAATCTGAAGTCTTGGTGAGCTCTCTGACTCTGCTATTATTACCAAACATCCTCTCCTTTCCCTTGAGCCGTTCCTTGTCTCCTGGCTGATTTTTCAGTTCTCCTCCACATTTGATGCAATTCAGGTCAATGCCGTGTGCAGGCCCCCCTCAGACATCCTCACACACGGTGCTTATGGGGCTGTTTGAACATAGTTACAAAATTCCTCCCCACGAGGAGCTGGCTATGCTCTGTTTCTAAGCCAATAAATATCTTTTTATAAAAGGAAGCCAGTGATTCATTCTGGGTAATTGTCAAAGAATGAATCCTGAACGGATCCTGTTGAGTGTTGAGCCAATACTCGGCTACTGTCAGACGCTTTGTTTTGCCAAAAGCGAGCCCCCTCGCTCTATAATCACAAACACCAGGGACGGGCCTCCCATCAGCAGCGCTGCCAGAAGTTCAAATGTCCTTTCAAGAGCTGGCAACGTCTTGCTGCTGGCACTGTGCTCAGGCATTAAGATAGTGTAGACACAGCTTGTACCAAGGAGATTTTACTCTGAAATTAT